GACCAACATGGAGGAATGGGGGGCATTTATTGCTATATCTTTTTTGTCTCCCAATTAACTAGTAAATAGGATTACTTTCTCTTAATCAAGATCAATTAACACAAATCTTAATTGGATCTAATTACAAACCAACTAAACTTGAATAGTTTCTATTGAAAACCAACCAAACCAAACCAACCCTTCTCTCTCCTCCTTGGCCTATAAATACAAGCCTTGCTAGCTATTTTATTTCACTCCATTCACACACACAACACATAGCTGAGAGAGGAGGAAAGGGAGAGCAAGTGAGCTTGAGAGAAAGAGAGAAGAAAAGAGAGCAACAAGTAGGAAAAAGATCTAGCAAATCAAGGTAAATCTCATACACCTCCTCTCAATGAATCATCATGTTTTTCCCCTTCATAATACAAGCTAAAAATATATTTCACATGATACTAAGAGTTACTACATTGTTAGATGATGTATGGTTTGAAAATGAAATGTTCTTTTTCTTCCTTGTAATTTCCAGCAAGCTTTTCTCAATGTTTTTGATTTTATTTCCATAGCAAACCTTCACCAACACAAAATCTGTTTTAAAGGGGTATTAATTGACATATATAGAGTATGTGAAAATTTTGGCTAAGACCATGGATGTGTTTTTATGACTCCTTTTATTTTTCTAAATACTTGGTGCAAGAACCTGTTTAAAACAGGGAACTCTAAGAAATTCTAGAAAATTATAGAAAAATGATCTCGCGTTCATTTTTATATCAAAATCTTCCTCTGAAGGTTAGCTTTCAAACAAAATTTATTTCAATGAAAATGAATGAGTATTCAAGAGAAACACCAAATTTTGTAACAGTTGTCAAATCTGGGCAGATCTGTGTATTTCTTAAATATCTAAAAATCAAAAAGGGCCACCCTACTTCCGTAAAATGATTCTAAAACTAGACTTAATTCTCTACGAATTCTCAGTAAGCCACATTTCTGAAACCCTTAGAAAATATTTTTTCTATATTTTTTTTTGAACTGGTGCAGTGCTGAAAATCTGACAGTGTGGTTCTTGTTGTAGTTAGTGTTTTTGTGCTATCATGACATATTTGTTATAATATATGTTATACTTGCATGCTTGAGTTTCACCTTGAATGGCCTTATTTTGCTCTTACTTGTGCTAACCACTAATGTATAATGAACTTAATGTGTAAAATGAAAAACTAAATGGGTTGGTAAAGAGGGTTGACGACCACACTAGTTATACATCATAAATGATGAGAATGTTAAGTTGATATTAGTAGTGGATTAAAATGAGCAAGTCTTGTGCAACTAGTTGTTTCGGAACCCTTGAATGTAGCGGTTGTATTCGGACCCTAGGTAGTTCGGTGTAAGGAGGGATTTGGGCTAGGCCCATCAGTACCGTCTCTTTTGAGGCCCTCGGTTGGCGCTACGCAGTATATAACCGTTGGTAGGCATCCGAGGTAAGGTCTACAACAAAGCAGCAAAAGAGGGAGCATATCGAATGATCCGCATCCAATTCTTAGAGTTGGGAGGACGAAATCTCTTTGGGGAATTTCTAGACTACTAACAATTAACCATATAATCTGTGCTATGAACTTAAATGCCATGATCATTTCCTCTGTCTTTTTGTAAATATTGTTGTGTATTGGACTGGGAAAAAGGAATGAGGTGTGTGTGCATTTACTAGGCATTCAAAGCTCACGGCGTATCATGACAAGTGCTGAAGAGGAGCTTACAGCAGGAGACGACGAGTTGGAAACCTTCGAAGACGTTTGGCTATCTTTAAAAAGTTAGAAATTTCCTTTTGATGTTTTGTAAAGTTCATATAAAAATTTAAATTTTCTTTTGGGATGTAATGTTAATGGAACGAGCTTTTGTAATTAAGGATATTCGTAATTATTCTATTATTATGTATTTATATTCTAACACCAATATAACCCCTGACGTTGCTTATGAGACCTTGTGTCAATGCTTCTTAAGATCTGTCAAAAGAGTAGTGCGCTATCTAAGAAAGCTGGACTTAGAAGGAAGGATAATTTGACTCCTCCGGCGATCTGGGATCTTGCTTGGTTATTGGCCATAAGACTTATTAGTGACTTTCCCTTGACTACAACTATTAGTGTAGATTTGGGGCATTACACAGCCCCTTGTATCCATTGTTCACAACTAAGGCAACTAGAATATCTAATCCCATTCACTCCCTTAGTTTTCGTAATTCATTTAAAGTGTGTAGAATATTTAGTAATTCATTTAAGATTTCCAACATTATTTGCGAGGCCTACTACATGTGGATTCGAAATTGGCTTTAAACAAATAATTTGGACGAATTACACCAACGGTCCATGTAGTTTGGGGTTTGTGTCATTTTGATCATTGTCCTTTCAATTATGATACATTTGACCTTAAATTTTAAATCTTATTATAAATAAGGACAATTGAAAACACTATTTCCTCTGCAAATGGAAAATGCTCAATTTCAATAGTAAAGTCAAGTTGCTATAAACTAGTTTGACAAAAATAAATGTTAAAAAGTTATTTTTGAATTTTTTAAAAATTATTTCTACCAACCAAAAATAAAATTATATAAAAATAATAAATCTTTTATATTTTTATATATTTATTTTTTTACTAAATTAATTTTTAGTATGTGTTTGGATGATGATCATGTAATGGGTAATTGTTTTTGTTGATATATATATATATATATATATTTTGTTATTAACAGATATTTTTGGATGGTTATCATGTGATGGATGAATATTAGGCTTTTAATATATAATCGATATGTTTAATATATAAAATATTTTTAGTTTTAGATTTTTGATAACAATGGATAATCGATATATTTAATATATAACATATTTTTAGTTTTGAATTTTTTTTGATAACGGATTGGTTTAATAATGACAACAAAATTGTTGTCATATTTGATTTATAAAAAAAAAATAGGAAACAATTTTACGAAAATAAATATCAAAAAAATTAATTTTAAAAATTATTTATACCTTTCCAAAAGATAAATTTATATAAAGTGATGTATTTTTATTTTTTTTTCACAAATTTAATTTTTAATTTTTTAGAAAATATTTTTAAAAACTAAACCAAATATAATTTTATAAATAAAAAAGTGTCAATATTATTCATTAAAAAAAGATGCCCTTATATTTTAAACAAAATATAAATTAATTAACACAAAATAAGTTATATGACGACTTTGCCTTAAAATAGATCATTTGTAAAGAAATTATCTTTAATTATTATTATTTAAAATAAAATTAAAATTCATAATTAAATGTATCACAATTAAAAAATTAGAGATTAGAGCGATACATTTGCCCAATAAATTTTATCCATGACAGTATTGGAACACGGGAGCATCTATTTGAACACACCTATTCCACTTTTTACACATCATTCTCAGTTCACACACCTTAAAAAGAAAAAAAAATTTACTTATTACACACACTTTTATTCCAATTATATCCTCATACACACAACTTTCCAACACTCCCAATCCATACACCTCCACACCAGCGACCACCTCGCCGGCAACCACCTCGCCGGTGGCGACGCAACGCCACCATTCCCTTTCCCTTTCACTTCCAGTCGCCATCCTCACCCCTTCTTCCACCCATCGGCGACACTATCGCGACCCCCACCTCATCCCCTCGATCTCTCTCTCTCAATCGCGAAAATGGGGTTTCAGAGGTTGATAGTCGAATCAATATGTTTTGTTCGGATGTTGATGGTTGAACCAAATTCATTGGTTCGATGGTTGATTTCCGAATGGAGGCCATTTTTTCGATGGTTGATTTCCGAATGAGTCTTTTTTCTGATTTAGGTTCTCCTCTCTCTCTCTTTCTGTGGGTGTGCAGAATTAAGGGTCACGAAGGGGTGGGAGCTGCGGCGGCGGTGGTGTTGTGTTCCGAAGTGAGGGGTTACGAGGGTGGTGGGGAGGGTGAGTGAGCGACGAACAATAGGGTGGAGTGGAGCTTCGATTCGAGAAGAGGGAGGCTGGAGGGAGGCGACGGAAGGAGGTGACGAAGGGAGGGACGGTGTTGAGGAAGGAGATGACTGGAGGGGAGGGACTGTGTTGGGTATTAGGGTTAGGGTTTTGGTTGAAGAAGAAAAGGATACTTTGGTAATTTTATTTTAGAAGCCGTCGCTTTTGTCCAACTTCATCACCGTCGCGGTATTACTTCGAACATCATCAGAAGTTAGAGTTAAATAAGAAGAACACCCACAATAATATAGGAGATCTTCGGCGTTGCTCCAGCGACTTCTTTTATACTTTTAATGTGTAAATTTACACTCTTTGAGTATGGATTTACACTTTTAAAATGTAAATCTGAAATTTATATGTCTAAAATAGGAGTTTTGAGTGTTTTTTTCGATTTTGACATACATGTTTGAATTAGAGAAATAAGATCTATATGTAGGTGAGAAGTTAGAACCAATTGAGATGCAGGATTATGGTTCTCTTAAATTTAAATTAATAATTACTAATTTGTTTTTGCAACCTTAGTTTATATTATTTGTCTAGATTTTTTTATAAATAATAATAATAATAATCTATAATCTATTTAATTTTTTTATTTTAAAAAAAATAAAAAATAAAAAAAATTAAAATAATCGTAAATTAACATATCTATGACACAAACTAATAAGCAAAGTAAAGGTGAGTAATTTTTCAAAATCATTTTTTTTTTCCAACTTAAAATAAATTATTAAAATCAGAAAAACAAACAAGCCAAGCCAAACACCCCCAGCATCTTCTTCGGCAGCTGACGAGGCACCCATCTTCAATCCCTTCTCTCTAGACTCCCTTGCCTTCAACTTTCTCGGGAAAATTCGACATTCGCGAGCACTCGCGTGGACTGAAAGGAAACACCGGAAGCTTATATGTTCAAGGCCGATCTTCCTGGTCTGAAGGAGGAAGTGACGTTCGAGATCGAGGAGGACGATAGGGTTTTGCAGATCAACGGTGAGAGGAATTTCGAGGACGAGAGGAACGATACTTGGCACCGTGTCGAGCGCAGCTCCGGCAGGTTCATGAGGCGGTTCCGGCTGCCGGAAAATGCGAAAATGGATGAGGTCATGGCGTCAATGGAGAACGGAGTACTTACCGTTACAGTTCCCAAGGTTGAGGTTAGGAATCCTGATGATAAATCCATTGAAATCTCTGGTTAAAATTAATGTATACAACTATTTAATTGTATATGTGAAATGTAGTGTTTATATGTGTGACGATATGTCTCTAAACCCTGCTTTGGGAGTGTGTAAAATAGGCTTTGTTACTTACAAACTAATGATAATGTGAGTGATGTTTAAAATCTTAATTTCGATTTGCTGTGCATTTTAACTTTATACTTCTCTATCTATTATTTGATCATTTGTAATCTTAAGAATGATAAGAGTTTCAAATTAATGAAGAAAAATACACAAAATGCAATTCATGAACTATCAATTCCTTCTTTGAATAGTCTGCAAATGTTAGCAAATACATGAAACTCAAATGAAATTAGAATGTTGGCTAGATCACATCGTTGTAATCTGATTTCAATTGAAAAATCTGATATCTGTTTATGTTTTGTTCTTGTTGATTTTCAGTGAAATTGCATTTGTTAGAAACTACGAGTTATCCAAAACCAGGTAAGCAGAATTGAAAAACCTGTGTATGAATAGGGTTTAAGGTTTTTTGATTGATTTTTCTTTAAAAATCTTAATTTTATGTGAACATTTAGTTGAAAAATAATAAGATACCTTAATTGCTTGTATAATCTGATTTTTTATTTTTTTTATTTTTATTTATTTTTTTATTTTTTTATAATGGTAAATGAAAATCCACCCAGCTACATAATCAAACCCACTACTTCAAAATTTTTTGTGCACATAGAATTTTGGTGAATGACATGAGAATATGAGATTGTGTTGATTGTTTCTTGAAGACTCCATTTTGTTACATCCTATGCAGTTACATCAAGGAGACATTTGATCCAATGTAAGTGAAATATAAAAGAAAAAGAAAATGGAATATATTTGGATTGATTTGTCCGTATTCAAAAAATTGAATCCAACATCAATAGGGATCATTGAACCCTTCATCAATTTTTTTTCATCTAATTTGATTTAAAGTTTGAGTAAAAAGCTTGATTTGATATGAACTACTCCAACCCGTTCATCACATTTTTATCAAAATCTTTTTTAAAAACTCCTCTCTTGAAAAAAAAAACCCCTCCAATGCTTTATCTTTTTAAATTTTCAAAAAATTCTAATTTGAGGAAGGATTTGATAGAATTTTCAATTTGATGAAAAAATGGTTCTCCCTTGATTTGAGGAATGGGTTGGAGATGATTTTTGAGTACTTTGATTTGATGAAACAAAAGGTTGATTGAGGATTAGAGATGCTCTCAATCACGTGTGAAAACATTCTTCAGGACTGAGCATGACTATTTTATCCTTGGTGTAATGTTCATCTCATGCAGTGACAACAAACTTGTTGGATATTATACTGCCAATATCTATATCTACTCTTGAAGATGCAACAGGCATAAACCCTCCTCAGTTTTGTATGTTCAGGTATTTCTCTATCTTTATCTCTATCTCTATCCCACTCTAGCTTTCACTTTCTTCAAATTTTTATATTCTGCCAAGAAATTGAAATATGTCTGTCAAACATATTTGAATAATTTCACCTGCTACATACTTGCGTTCTTTCTGCTATCTATAGCAGTATTGCTTCTTCTGCACACAACACAAATTCAATCTACATGTTCAAAAGGCTTTAAGCGTGATGGTGAAAAAATAATTACATTTCATTTCCTGAGATCAGTTCCTCAAAGAAGAAACTAATTAGAAAAGTTAACAAAGGGAAGACAATGCTTATCTTCTGCTTCCTAGAAACAGACACATGTTGAACCCACAACCAAGCAGACATACGGTTTAACACAAGAGGATCTTTCCACCGTCAGTCATTTGCATTGGGAATTCTTATCCCAAAAGATTTATGTATTGGGAGGATGCTAATACTCTGATGCTCACAAACAAGGTCTAGAAGTATATGTTTCTGATTTCGCTAATTATAAACCTGCAAGTTACAAATATAGCTATGATCAAACAGCCAAGTATCTGCAGTAACTGATTATTTTCAGTTTTCTGTTGATGGAGTGATTATGGATTTTTCTTCTGCTGCCTCAGAATCAACTGGTGTGATTAGCTTTTGTTGCTCATTCTTAATGGTCAGCCTATGTTCTCCTGTTCATTAGGAACAATTCATGACAACAAAATACACCAATCTAAAACCCCAGCATACCACTTTTGTTGCTGAAAATAGGTCTGTCCTAATAACTCAAAATCATCAATAAAATTGTTCTGAGGCAGCATGCTTAGCTCACAATGACAATGCTAGCAGGCCTGTGAAATGTGAGAAACTAATTGTAATTGCTTTTTGATGTGCATTATTTTACATCAACTGAGGATAATACGGAGATGATCAACAAAGTTATTCTTTTCACATTAATGCTGAGCATCTAATTATAATTTCTTTGATCATATGATTGATATCTAACAACAAGGCTATTGCCTACGCCGAATATGATGGTGGGTGAAATCAATAATTATGCTGATGTGATACAGCTACTGTCTCAAGATCCTCCATTGTTAGGTTAGAAGTTCTGATTCTTTCGCCAAGGCCTTCACCACTATTGTTGACAATACATGCATGAGCATCCTATAAAATCTCCGTATTTTTCTTTCTTTTTAGGGAAGAATTTGTTAATCGGTATTTGATTACCATTGCACCAACTGGAAAATCATATTCTGGAGCTGCCAAAAATGTGAATTTTTTATTTTTTTTCTTCTAGTGACAATCATGTTGCTTAGTGTACTTTCTGTGGAATTTTGAAACTGGTTTAGGTTTGGCAAGGACCTATAGTCTCTCTTGTTTCAGTCCCAGAAAAGATTTTGGGTTCATTTTCAGTCTGTTGTATAGCAAGTGCTTTGGGATTTTAGTTCATACCAGTGTAGAAGAATGTTTGAGCTACCTAATTAATCCCCAATTTTGGTACTGTGATTATGCAGATTTATTTCATGTAGTCTACAAGGTAAAAATTAATTATCAGAACACAGAAGTTAAAATATTCCTTCTCAACTTCTCAAGATTCTTAGTAGTCGATTTCAACTTAAAAGCTATAAACAAAAACTACACTAAAGGCTCGCTCTCACAAGAGCTTATTTTCCTTAAAAATACAATATGCTATATATGTTGCAACTGTAGAGAGGAAGCAAATGGGTGAGAATTTGCATAAATTTGGTTGGGACAGAAGACAAAAGATGGTTATAACAATCTTCATAGCTTTTTGTTGCAGGGAACGGAGTTGATGAGGTATAAGCTCATGAACTTCAAACTCTTGGAAAAAGTTATAAACATGCGGCGCTTAAGGCTTCCTCTAACCGGAGGGACTACAACTTTGTTCTTGCCTGTTGTAAAATTTGCTATCTTTGACAGCTTCTCCACCTTAATCTTGTTCCCCATGTACATGTATATGTATATAGTTGCACTTTTTATGTTTTCTGTTGCGTATATGAAGAGAGAGAGAGAGAGAGAGAGAGAGAGAGGGAGAGAGAGAGAGTTTGAAGAGGATTAAAGAAAGAGGAAATAATTTATAAGGAGTTGGGATGGTGGGGTCATCAAATGGGACACATTCAAATGGTAATAGTAGTGAGGGTATAGATAAAAAGAAGCTTCCAACAGCTTTCTATTTTTGTTGTGCCGGTAGTAGCAGAAGTGGTGGGCGGTATAGATAAAGAACCTTCGAACTACTTTCCGCAGGGTAATATGGTAGTGAGAAATAAAGGACTTTTGAGTACTTTTTAGTACGGCTTGAATCCCGCACAAGAATCTCTCTCCACCTCATGTTTCTGGAAGGAAGAGAAGAGAGTGTGTTTTAGAACACGGTCGGCCCAAGTGTAAACCCATTTACACCACTGTCTTGGGCTTCAAAAAGAGGAAAGCCATTATTACAATGAAATTTTAATAGTGAATTACTATCGTCAAAAGCAATATATTACTGGTACAAAAAAATTTAATAGTGAAGGAGAAATCTCAATAAATAAACTGGAAAATAAGAGTAATAGTTGAAAGACCCTATCTATTTTTCTCACATAATTTTTTTTTAAAAAAGTGTTTGGTTTCAATTTTCTGCAAAAATAAATTTTTTATTTTTCATATTTTTTTGTTTTTAGTAAATATTTTTTAATTTTAAGATTTTTTTTTTATTTTTTTAAATGCATCTTATTTACATGTATCTAAAAAGTAAAATATTTATAAAAAAAAAATCAACTACACAAAAATATAAAAATGTATCAAATTCTGGTATTTTTATTTTTATTTTTGGTATTTAGTGAATTTTTTAAAGATTTTTTTACAAATATTATATATTTTAAGTATATTTATGTTAAGTGTATTTAATTTTTTTTAAAAAAAATCAATAAACAAAGAAACACAAAAAATAAAAAAATTTAATTTTTTAAAAAGTGAATCTTGAAACTAAAATAGCACAAACTGGATTTTAAGGAATATAATTTTGTGGTGGATGATTCATAGCATGGGTTTGCTACAATAGATGGTGAGTAGATATCATAGCACAAAGGGAAGGTCCACCTAACTCCTTTCATCGCACCTTTCGCAGCAGAGACTAGAGCTTGTTTAGTGGGCGAAGAAGCGATGCATGCTTAGTATTGCCATTTGTACTCATTTCCAAGGGTTGATAAATGTCCAATTCAAATTGGAATTCAACAACAGTAATAGATGACATGTTTTACTAGTAGATATTTTAATTTTCTTATTGTATACAAAGTCCATCGTCTGTAGTAAAGTCGGTACATGATTGTAGTTCGTTGTGTAAATGATTTTTCTATCTAATATATGTATATATATATATATATATATGTGCTTTTGATGATTTTTTTTAAAAAAAAATTAAATTAAATTAACTCCCTTTCATACAAAATAATAGAGTTAGTAAAATCCATTAAGCGGATTCAATACTTAAGCCATGTTGACTTTTTTTGAATGCACTAATAAATTTTACAATACTCATATTCTCCTCATTAATTTTTTTATCTTTTAAATTTTTTGACCTTTTCACCATCTTTCGCTATTTTTCCACACTATTTTTCCAAAAAGTTCCCACCACTATCCCCATTATATTTTTCCAAAAAGTTCCCACCACTATCCCCATTATCACAATCATCCACTAACTGCCATCACCTTCCACCTACCGTTGCTACCATCATCGTCCATTGAATACTGTCATCAAACTATACTTGCACCGTTGTAGGATCGGCCATGAGATTTTTGAAGCCCAAGGTGAAATCTTAAAATTAGGGCCCTTCATGTATAAATAATGAAGAAAATAGTTTATTTAAATTTTTTATTCTAAAGATATATATAATATAAATTCAAAGTTAATATAATGTGAGTCATACTTATAATGAATGAGATCTATAAATATATATTTTTTACTTTGGTATTTAAGAGAATTTTTTTTTTTTTTTATCAAATTTAAATTTGATAAAAATTTAAAAAGATATTGAAGATAAATTTTTTTTCATCAAATTTGATGAAAAGGGAAATTTGGAATATAAAGAGAAATTTAAAAAAGAGTTGGAGTAATTCATATTAAATCAATTTTTTTACTTAAATCTATAATCAAATTAAATTGAAAAAAATAATAATAATTGAAATACTCTAAAAAACTTTAATATAGATTGTAAAGTTACAAGAATTAGTTTGCATCTTTATTTTTAAACTGGTTAACACCATAAGCATTAAAATTATTTTGGAGTCCTTAAAATTTGTCAAAATTTGGGAGCCCAAGTCGCCGCCTTACTCGTCTTGGGCCAAGGCTAGGGCCAGCTCTGCACCATTACAAATCCATGTCCAAAGGGGAGGCAAAACAATATCGTTAGATATTTTTGTTAGTAAACCTTATTTTCTTCTCCTCCAACTGACTAGATCTGAATAGGCATTTTGCCTATTTTGATTCACTCTCTACATTAATAGGCAAATGTTGTTTCCCATTAAAAAGAGGTCTCCGAATCTGCTTAGCTTAGTCAAAACCAACTGATTTCCTTCATTCCCTTCCTCCATTTCTCATCCTTTTCCAGAGACAACTCTTCAAATTTTAACAACAGAATTCACCACCAAACCCTTCAAATTTTTTTTAAAACAAATTTTACCATTTTTTTTTATTAAACAAAATCAGACAACAATAATGTATGTACATACCGATTACATCAAATATTACACAAGGTGGTCGTCTTAGGGATGACCTCAATAGTTTTGAGTGCTCGTTCTGAGGATGTCTTAATCTTGATTGAAATTGTGCTATCGTCCTGAGGATGTTCTAATCTTGATTGAGATTGTGCTAAAATGACTATGTACCATTGGATTGTGCCAAAACATATCCAACGAAAGAAGCTATTACCATTTAAAAATATGATCATTTGAAATATATATATATATATATATGTTTAATAAATAATATACTTACATATTTTTAAAAAATATATTTGCAAATGCCACATCAATATATGACGCAAATCATAAAAAAATTATTTATTCATTTATCTCTATCTAAAAATTAATTAAAATAAAAAATATAATTAAAATGCACACTAATTAAACTAATTACTCCCTTCGTCTTAAAATATTAGTCTTTTATTTCATTTTTTATTGTCCCAAAATATTAATCTCTTTTTAAAAATTAAGGACAAAAATAATATAAATTTCCTATTTTGCCATTAAATTCATTAACTATATAATAAAAACAATTATAACAATTAATATTCCCTAAAACATGTACTATTAAAGAGTAATTTTGAAAAATTAATTTTTTTAAAGTGTAATAATTGTATTATTAAAAATAATTAAATTCCTTAAAAAAATTATTATTTTCAGACAAAAGAAGTAAATAAAATGAAGATAATATTTTTGTGTACATTTCCAAAACACTAGTTGGATCCCACGCGCTACGAGCGTGCGGTCGCGTGGTAGTTATAATGCTTGTTTAAGAAATTTCTGTATATACAAGATGAGTTCTTTTTCTTTATTTTTACATTTTTTTTCTTTTGCCAACAAAAAAATTATTAATAAGATGAGTACAAACTGGGAAGAGAAATATGATCGGTTCAAAACAAGAACCAAACTGCACATCTTCAACACAAAAAAATCACATAACTATAATCACCTCCCATTTAGTTTCCTTCGTATTAAAGTCATTTGTTGCATTCCATAATGTCTATAGAATTGCAAAAAACACTCCCAAATGTTCCTTTCAACAATCAAGGCAACCAACTCTTCAACACCAGTGTGCCACCATCAGCCCCACCATTGTGACCCTTCCACCATTACATCAACGGTTATTAGTACCCCTAGACTGTAACCACTACTCCAACTCTAACCAAACATCACAATTGCTACTCCAACACAAGAAATGCTAATGCTATCCTTTCATAGTATTTCCAAACTACCAAAATCACATTCTTTAGGCACCACTTCTAATAACTACCAAAATCAGATTCTTTAGGCACCACTTCTAATAGCTTTATAGTAGCACATATGCACTTACAAAATGCTGTATGTTTGAGTTTCTCATCCAATCATGCTTCGTAAAATTCAGAATTTTGGTCCCACCACAATCTTTTTTCTAAAAAACCCCAATTACAAAATATATGCACTTTTTCCCTTAATATAGTAAGAAACACTACTCCTTTATCACAAAAAATATTTCTTAATTCCACCTAACCAAAAATTTGTTCTTAAAAATTTTAAATAAAATGTTCTTAAAAGTTTTACTTAATTTTACCTGGCCCGGCATCACCTCACCATTGATTCCACTTATGTTAATCCCGGCATAAAGGCAAATCTTGTAGTGTGAATCAACAACATCCCGTCCAAAACCTTTGTCGGCACCAGCCCACAGTAGTATGGTCCCTAAGTTGCAATAACAAAAGGTTCAACTATAAGTCTTAGGCAAAAAGAAATAGCCACAAAAATATTCACCAGAGAATCTACAAGAATTGCTATTATATGTTATTGAATTCTGCACAATAAACAGCAAATTAAATTTGGTTAATGAGAAAGACAGCACAACAAAACTTTTTTAACACATCGTTTAAGATTTCACAATGAAAGTGCCCCAAAACCCAAATGAATTGAGGAAATGTTTCGTTCATTGGAACGATTTAAGGAAGGAATGGAATGACTATTCCTTGGCCTTCCAATGGAATGAAAATTCTCCTAAATTGGTGAATGGTGCTTTTATTTCCAATGTTAAATTCCTTTCCTTTTTACTGAACCAAACATGAGATGATTATTCTGATGGAATGATTACTCCATTCCAATGAACTGCATGAATGCTCTAACTCACCAATATATTGTTTCCCATCCTGAATGGATCTTTCAAAATTGCTTGAGGGCTGTTTTTTCAATTCAACAAAAACTGTTTATGCACTACCAATCTACCGGTTTGGAAAAATGTTCTGAACTAACATTTATTAAGGAAAA